TATCCAATTTAAATTATAGTTCTTTTTTATTTTTTGCATTCATTACCTTTGTAGATTAAAAACAAACAGTGTTAAACATAGTAAAGGTATTGTGGTGGTTTTCACCACAATGATCAATACTGTATTTAAAATTTGCTGAAAAGCCATGCCATTGTATATGGCTTAAATCAAAACAGGGCTTCAGTTAGACTGTCAAATTTTAATTCTAAATGTTCAGCCTATGTTGAAAAATGTGAGGTGAATACTTAAATGCTTAGAGAGACAAACATTCAATATAAAGGATTTTGTTCCTATCTTTGTTTCCACCACCTGCAAAGCTGTTACTATTAAAGTGTATCTCAGGAGGATGCCAATCTCAGATGGCAATGGAGCCTACAACTAGTGACTCTTTCTCTCAGCTTCGAATGCGCTGTGAGCAAGGTGGGAATTAATCATGTGAACTGCTGCTGAGATCCCGTATGCTATCAAATGATTGGAATGCCAGGCAGTCGGTTTACTAGAAGAAGCAAAGCAATATATACACATCAAAAAGAGATAAATGAAAGGGTCAACAAGGTGAGAGAACTCTGTGATGAAACTGCAGTATTGGATGCAATAACCTTACACACACCTTGACCAAATTAAAAGATTTTAAATGGTCTTGCTGCACACCATTTGCTGAGCAATACACCAATCTGTAAAGCTCTGGGTATGAGATGATATCTTCTTGAGGAAATGGGTCTCTTTTTCAAAGTATCCAAAAGTGAAGACAACACAACAGAGGTGATTATTTCTGTGATGGGTAATGCAATTTATAGTATGGTGCAAGGCTGTTTTCAAAGATCTGTGAAAGTGGCCATGAGAGATCCTTTCAATTTGGGGGTGTTTCCAAAACACTGAAGATATTTGTAAGCATCAATGCTAAGGCCTCAGTTCGTACATTTGTCCTTACAGCATGTTACAGTGCTGTTGCAGACATTCTCCTGGATTACATTAGAGCCCAAAACAATTTGCAACAACAAAAAAACATGCTTTGCCTCATGACAGGTTAACTGGTCGTCTTTTCTGTCAGAGTGTGCAGAGTGAGTTGCATGGGGCAGTGGTGGCCCACCCATGCTGATGGTCCAGACTGGGCCAGTCCTCTCTTTTTCCTTTCCTCTTTTTCTGCAGCTGTGAGTGTCCTTGACATTAAGCTGAAAAACTGACAACTACCTGACATTGAGCAGGATCAGTCTCACTGGCACAGTTGTGCTAGTTACTTCTGAATGCACATCACACGCATCCCAAAAGTGCTTGCTCACAGAATATTCCCAAACCATATGTGGACTGGTGCTAGTCACACACTGACTGCATCTGTGTCCGGACAGGGAGAAATCTTAATCTGGAATCACTGGGATAGTGCTGTAAATATTCTGTGCAAGAAAATGGATTAGCTGATGATTTATCCCAGTCAGAACTATCATCCAGTTTGTCTTATTCTCTGTCCCAAATAAGAGTACTTTGCAGGGCACTGATATAAGTGGTGAGAAGTCCTATAGAGACTAGACCCTTGAAGCGGCTGTAAAAACAGTTACATCAATCACTAAATCAGAGGGCAAAGCTCTATTTTTGAAGTGCAGATTGTGATTTACGGCATAATAACAAAAAAGACAATGGTTTGATATTGCTGCACCTAAAAATATCCACAGAGCAAGTAAGATTCCCTTTGAGTCTAAAGAATGTACAAGCTATTGTACAAAAAATATCAATATTTTGTACACCAAACACAATAAGAAAAAGGGTGTGAACCAGTCATTTAGGGTAGATGGTTGCAAATTGGTAAGAGTTGATAATGTTTTGGGGGGAGTGTTGAGAACACAGCTCTTTATTCTTAGTATCTAGTAAGTTTAGAATAATTTGGCCCTTTCAGAAGAAGTCAATTCTCCTGTTAGAATAAAAATATAAGAAAATAGCATCTAATGTGTTTAAATAATGCCCCCTCATTTGGGCAGCATGAGACTGACACACAGGAATTAATATCCTATGATGAAAAAACAAATAAAAAATGTTTAAGAATATGTACAGCCAGGCCATTGAAAGCTTTGTGTTACTTGTTGAACCACTGATCGCTGATCAGCTGAACAACTGCAGCCTAGTACAGGAGAATGAGTATGATGTATCTCTTCCAACATGCCCACTGTTAAGACTGCTTGCAATCTGAGCTATTGCAAACTCAACAGTACATTACAGCACCGTTCACACTGTCTGAATAAGCCACACTTCTCCTACTGATGACTCTGCAATTTCACAGTCACCCACTGTGCCACAGGGTTTCATATTGTGTGCAAGCCTGCAATACTACTTAGAATACTCCGACAAGTTCAAGACCTCCTAAACCCTGGCAGGAGCTTTGCCCTGAATCCTGATCACTAATCCTGGTGAACTAATGAAATAGCTCAGGGCCTAACTGGCTCTAAGTGTAATCTGTACTGCATTTTAAGAAAGATTGTCAGTATCTGACTTTTTTTGATTGCCAAAATGTCCCATACTGGGGAGACAGTTTATTAGATCAAGAGAAATGATGGTAAAACATGATGTACTGTATGTGTTGTAAAAGCAAATTGATTTTTTTATAGTCTCTCAATTATACAGAGTGAAAATTTGATATCTGACAGAAGAGATTGTCTATCCAAATATATCGAAAAGATCTATCTACTGTAAATGATCTTTCACACACTATTCTTTGCCACCTTTGGCTTCCATCTGTAAAATCACATACTGTACCTGCCAACATGCGCCATGTGATCATGTTAATCAAATAGAGTGTTTGCTTTAGCCTACCGCTGGTTACTCTTCATAATGGGAATGAGTGCTAAATGTAACTGTTTTATCTGTTCAGCTCAACAGAGCACTTGGAACCACATCAGATCATTAATGCTTACCATCCACTTTAACAGAAAATACTTTGTGAAAAATTATCAATGAGTATAATTTATTTTTAATTTCCCTAAAAATGTACATGATCCTTTCATGACGTCATGATGCAAAGCAAAAGATGCATACTATTCTATAGCAGTAACTTGTGTACAGTAGGTTAATAATTGCATAATGCAGTTACAGTATTGTCATTGGATTGATATAGAAATAAATGTACTTTAATATGTACTGTAAATGCTACATAATTACAAAGTATTAAAGTGTACTCTATATACAGTACAGTACACTGTAATTAATGTACCTGTATTTTGAAGTGAATCTGTGTCTAATGTTCTGTTTTCTGTATGCCTTGGAAGAAGGACAGTGCTGTATAAAATATTACAGAATGAAAAGGATTTTGTTTCAGTTTATGAAAAAATGAAGCGGTTCCATACTGATATACATAAAAAGGAGGTATATCTCCCATTGGGCTGATTGGAGCTTGTTCTTCTTTTGAAGAAATCAGTGTTTGTTTTAATCTATCAAAGTTGGGAATATCCTTAGGGTTTGTTGAATAAGGGAATGGAACTGTACTGAAGGACCCTCCTGCTTAAGCTTCCATGATAGCTTTTACATGTCTATTTATTTGCTCCAAATCCCTCTAGAATTACTCAGAGGATTTTATGCATCTAACTCAGACACTCGTACTTTAATACATTTAGGATGTCCAGTGTAGCCTGTTTCTTGTTCTTGCAATTTGGTCAGTTCTTTTTTTCTTTTACAATTGCTACAATAAAATAAAAATGCATTAGGAAAAAATTGCAGTATTCTATTATTTATATAGTGAATGAAATGAACATGCTGGTGCCTGCTTTTGTATTCTGAAAGAGCACTTGGACTCACATTAATGAGGAACCTTCAAAGCAATGAAAAGCTCTGTAACACACTGAAGACAGAAGTCAAAGTGACTTATCTAATCAGTGCTGGTCAGACTAATCTTTGACCAAATCCACACTTGATAATTATTAAAGCTCTCTCGTTGGATGGAAATAATATTCACATGGCGTAGGAGTTTTATTCTTTCCCAGTCTTACAAACAGCAGGCTCTAGGAGGAAGTGTCTACATCTCCGGTTTAAAATTCTAAGACCTGATAAATTTGGATTAACTCATAGTAAGTTAGCAATCATGACATATACACTGCCATGTGTTAGCTGGTATACTGGTGCCTGTTGTAAAACCTGAAATGGTTCAAACTGCTGCTGTACAGTATTCACCTAGGAGAAAGAAAAAAGAATGATTTACATCGTAGTGACAACAAAGCAAACAAAAAAGAATACAATGGCTTCGTAATGAAAGTCAACCCCCTATTTATTAACAGGAAGACTTAATTTTCTTTCTGTTATTTGATTATATACATTTTATTATAGTTATTCGCTAATCAATGTCAGAAAGAAGATAAAACTGAAGAAACTATACTGTAGTTCACTGGGTCTCTACCTGTTGTAACAGGGCTTTTGAGTGAGGAGGAGAGTATATGATTATTATTTTCTCATCTTCGAATAGAAGCAAGATGCTGCCAATAAATAAGATCTCAAAGGATACACAGTACTGTGCCACTAATTGGTAGATATTCCTCACAGATGTTGAAGAAAGGACATCTGTGGACACAACACGTTAAAGGTGTATGTTCCAGTCTAGCTTGTTTTCCATGAAATAATAAATCAAGCTCTTTCAACACAGGGTCCATTTTTTTTCATGTGTATGTTTGTCCATGTTTTATTATTGATATTCCCCTCTTCCCTTGGGAAATCTTGCCATGGCAGTGTCCCTTCCTGGGCTCTAATGAAACCTCAGTGCATTTGTGTAACTGAAGGAGTGGCTGAGGTTGCTAGGATGTGCCCCTCCCTCACATCCCAGAGGAAAAGTGCTTATTTGATGTCCTTGATTGTCATTCGCAGGGGCCCTTGCTACCGGGCGTATGGGATGCTAATGCAAGATGAAAGGGTCATCCTAGTTTACTGCTGCCAGATTAGATATTCCAGGCAGCTCCCCTGCTCTCAGCCAATCACAGGCAAGGACTCCGTGATGCAGGCCCTCTCTCACTGGAGGGATTCCGAAGAAACTGCAGCGTGATGATGCTCTGTTAAACAGTCTAGTGTCTCTCCCTCTCTTTCTCCCCCTCTCTCCCTTCCCAGTGCTAGATAAATCCAGTGTCTTTTTTTTTTCAAATAGGGGATAACACAGCGCCGAATGTAAAGGCTCCCTGAAGGCTGGCCAGAACATACAGGCAGCAGCAAGACTTTCTTTGGCAAGACATCACCTTTTATTCCATGTTTCCAGATTGCATCTTACCTTAAAAGGCAACCATCTAGAGCCCAATTTGCACCACAAAGACAGCAATTCCAGGTAAGATCCTGTTCTCTTTCTCAGCCTTTGGTGCCATGGAAGTCATGTTTTCTGTTACTGAAGTACAGGAAGTCTACTTAACTGTGTGCTCATATTTGTCATCCTTTATGACCCAGTGCCTTCGCTGAATTGTTTGTGGTTTTGCTTCATTATTTTTTGGAGGGGAGTGTGTGGGTGGGTAGGAGATTTCGTTGTACTATACTATTGTAGTTATTGGCTGGGACTACCCCTTCACGAGAGTCATGTTTAGGCTGTGCTCTTGTTTATTCAAATAAAGCACTGAGTGCGTGGGAAGACACAGTCGACCTGGAGCACCACACAACTGCTTTCAGATTGCAGCCAGGGAAACTAATCCTTTGGTCCATACCATCAGATAAAGTGGGAAGGTTGTTTTAACAGCTTTCAGATATGATGGACTTATCTTTTACTCAACTTGCTTAGGCTAGAAAAATATTGATTTTCAAATTAACACCTTTGTAAACTGAAATAAACCCACCTTACCAGTTTGTCCTCTTTCTTGCCTCTTTCCACAATTGGAAATGTATCATATTAATCCACACTGTTGTTATGAAACTGAAATAATACATTGTTGCTGGGGTACTGTAAATTATGGAGCTGTTCCTTTGACAGTCTAATACCAAATTTCATTTGGATATGTGTGTGATTACAAAATGTAACGCTAGTGATATTTGTATATGCTTTTGTTCATGTATTCCTGAACTGCAGTATTTGTAGTGTGGGGTTCTCCTCTGTTAGTCTTTACAAGATAATTCAATTGCCAGGTTTTTACATATTAAAACTAAAATAGTAAAAACTTTTTCATGATCTGCAAATATTAACACAGTAAGTCCTAAAATGCCTTATTTCAGTTTACATCTTTAAGTTTGGGTTTGCCATTTCCCTATGTTACTGCACGTTGATAAACGATAAAATAGTAAGGAAATGGTGTCTTTGTTTTCTGTTGTATATTACTTCAATTCATAGGTGGCATGATAGCGGTTGCTATGAACATTTGCCGACATTGCAAGTAACTGCACAGCTGCCTTACATAATACAGTAACAGTACTTACATAACAGATCCTGGATGTGTCTAAACTATACAATTGAAACATGTTTCCTAAATAAGAAAATAAACAGTATCAAGGATATTTTATGTGTTTAAATAAAGTCATGAAATTGACAATCAGTTTATGGAGATTTTTAACATGCCAAACGTACCAGGAAAACTCTTGGGCTCTAAGCCTACATGCTTTTAATATGGTTATTGGGCAGCATGCTAATGACAGTTTTTGCAATCTGTAATTCAATCAGCTCTGATACACACTGCCTTCTACCATCATTCATCAGACCCAGCTGAGTGATTTCTGTCAGATTGCAGGCTGTATAGAGATCTCTCCAGGTAAATGTTGCTGGCAGGCTGTTCAAATGCGGTCTTGAATGAGCAGTAGACAAAAAAGTGCCTGGCCACAATGTACTGACAGATGTTAGTTCCCAAATAAATCATTTCCTTCAATTGTCAAGGGGGATGTCATGTTTTTATCCCTTACTGAATGCCCATTAATGAGTAGAAAGAAAACTGATTCTCTGCCGTATGTACTTGTAAGCATACTCCATGTTCAGGATTTTGTATTATACTTTTAAAAGTCTGAGGTTAGAAGAAGCACAATGGAAAAAATGCCACTGGTATTGCACAAGTCCTTTGACATTAACCACTCATTTGGAGTACAGCTGATGGGAAATAAACAGTACTGCTGTTAAAGGTAATTAGAAATACAAAACTAAAAAACAGTAACAGTACTCTTACTGTAGTTCAACCTTGTGATGCTTTGGTGCCAGAGATTTAGCATCCGGAAATGTGCGGCAATAACACTTATAGTACCTGTGTGATAGATAAAAGGGATTTATATTCTTATCAATTTAATATGAAAAATCTTCCTTACTTTTACATGAGTTGGTCATGTAAAAATGGGTTCTGGAGGGGAATTGTAAATAATGTAAAAATGTTAACTTGTCATTTAGAAGGCAAAATGCGCTTATCAAGAAAGGACCAAAAGTGTAACAGGAAATGACCTTGACATGACTGTCCATGTAATGGACCACAAAAAGAAACCCTTCATTGCAGTCAATCTAAGGTGTACAGGTCGTTACTCTGTTATTATTACTTATTTACTTCATTGTGTGTGTACTGTATATTTTTCCTAACATCTGCGTAATTAGATTTGTTGCTCTGGTCCTCGAGGTCACAAAGTCACATCTTATGATGCATTTTCTCTCTTGTTCAAGAGTGTGTTTTTGCTCTAGAATGACAGCTGCATGTTTACATTCATACATATTATAAAAATAGCAATTTTTTAGAAAACATCCAAATCAGCTTAAAATGCTCTGAAAAGTTAATAAAATAAGTTATTGTATTGAAATCGACAATAATTTTTCTATATTATTAAATATTTATAGATAAGACCATGAATCTGCCTCTTCAGTGTACATTTTAACAATATTTATAGGGATTTCCTCTAAACTCCATTTAATTTTTAACATCAGTCGTCATTGTAGCGCCAATTATTACATTAAGGTGAGTTCCGTGAAGGAGCTAGCGTCTCTTGCTTGTGTAGACATGCTGCTTACTTAGTCGCACATCATCTTTAAAATTCATTAACTACTGCAAGACCTCATCACTTCTCTCTGCATACATCTAAAACTACACGTTACTCTCTACCTGGAATTAAACTGCATGTAAAAACATTGTCTGTGTCAGAATAAGCTGCCAAAAAAAGATTTTGCAGTTTCCTTTTGAAACGAGCAACCACCCTTATTTTATCAGTAATCGCTTTTCCTGAACCTCTGTCATTCTGTTTTCTGCAAATAAAATGTAACTTGCTGATCCTTATTTGCAGACCCAGGTGATTCATCTTTCTGTACTCACCAGATGTAATTTGACAGGCAGTTAACTGTTAATTTCCTGGTTATAAAGCGTTCTGTTCCCTGAGCTAACTCTCTGAAAATGACAGTAGCAGAATGGTTTTATTATATGGTTCATTTTCTTTATTCGGTTTTGATTATTGTTTTATTGGGTACCCTAGCATTATATTTTTGAAATGTAGTCTAAGGTAAAATTGCTTTTTTGTAATTGAAGTTAGTAAAGGTTGCGGAATGATAATATTGATGAAGAAGAAACTCCCAGTGATGTGTTGCTGTACTCATGGAAAAAAAAAAGGTGCTTTGCTAACTGGACATTTGCAAAGCCACTTATTTCTTCAGTTTGTGTGCAACATTAATAAATATTAAAAGTCTTAGTAAATAGCGTATAAGCATGTTTTGACACATCTGTGGTATGTTTTTAATGCTTTACACAATGAAAACAATAAACAGCAGAGTTACATCCAATCAATGGCTTAAAAAGGATTGGGTTATAGGCTGGTCACATGCAGTCCCCTAAAACATTCTAAGTGCAGGTCAAGAAAGAAGTATAGGATCAATTTTAATTATAGAGTATAGCTTACATTTCAAGGTCATTCTTGTCACTGGAAAAGAGAAAGAAAAAAAAACAGACATTGACATCCTATTATAATTGACATACTCTAGGTCACACATGTTGTCATATTAAAAGTCAAATTGTACCTTCAGTCAGTTATCCAGATTCAGGATGTCCGTGTCTGTCCATGCCTTGAAAAAATAGCTATTTATTTGTGTTTCTAATTATAAAGATACTTTCCCTTTCACTTAATTAATGTCAAGCTGATATTCCTATCCTGTGAATAATGAGTATTTAATACAGCATGACTTATAGGCAGATTTCAATTTTTAAAGTGGGCTCCTGAGTATCACTCAGAACACAAATTGAGCCTTATATTATGGCTGGATGGAACATATGATTGGCATTTCCTATGAGGTAATGAAAAGGCCATCTAGTCTCCTGCCAAGGTTAGTGAGCTAGAGCTAAAAAGGTTATCTTCAGCTTGCCATGCAGCTCATCCAGTGAGTCCTGGAAGTTGCTAGCCACCTGTGAGCTTCCAGCAGTCAATGAGAGATGCGCTGCTTCTGCAATTGGTGCTAACTCCATTGTAAAGAACTGTGGAAATCAATATGCCACTTGTTCTTATTTTCCCCTTGTGCAACAGGGGTTATAGTGACAAGATGCACTGATTAGTATTTGGGTTTTCCAAATCACATGGCTATAAAAATAGAAAAGCAACTGGCAATACCACATTTACATAAAACATCAACTAATGAGGACCAAGAAAATATGCTAACCTTTACTTATTAAACATACCTTCATTTCATTATACAATCCAGAGCTCTGTTGAATTAAAAACGTGAAGACACTGGGGTCCTTTAAGAACCCATCTACTCAGTTAGTGATAAATTAATAAAACCTTGTTGTCTGAAATTTGAATTTGCCATTCCAGTTTCATCTTAGGGAAAACTTGACATGTAAAAAATACTTAAAGAAACAGCCTGCTCCAGGTCTACCAAAGAGGGAGCTGTGCTTCCACATCTTGTGAATATTTAGCTGTTTGCTTGGCTAATGTTCCAGTGAAAACCGATCAAGTTCCCTTTTAAACTGTGAAATTCATATTTGCTTCTCTTCTGAAAAAAGCCAAGAGATACTGTAAGATAGGAAATGGAATTATTGCAGTGCTAAATTTGCCAGGGTTTGGAAGAACACTCTAATCTTACCATGGTTCATTATTCATGTTTTACTGAAGCATTCAAAGTACATGTAGCTGAGCTGCCTGGATGCATTATAAATGTTTGATGTAAAAATACATTTTGGAAAGTGTCAGTCCCTGAGGTACTCTGACTGTGCTTTATTAAATACAAGAGGTACTGTATGCCATGAAGAGAAAAGAGGTCAGCCAGCAAGAGTGAATTACTCATTGCTTTGGCCTAGACAATTAGTGAACAGTAACTAGAGACATACTGTACTATAAATTTCATTGTTTTCCCTTTATTGTGCAGACGTATCACAGCAATGCAAATAAGCACTTAGGTAAGCAAAA